AAGGCCAGGGTCCCGCAGATGAGGTGATGGCGGGGTCTGCCTTCTGGTTCACAGAGGAAGCCTTCTCGGGGCGTCCCCACATGGTGGGAGGAACGCGGCCGTCTCTGGGACTTCATTTACCAGGGCACTGATCCACTCACCTGCTCCGGCCAGCGGGGCCGGATTCACAGTGTATGACGGGGGAGGGGACAGGTGTCCCTCTGCAGCAGGGGGGGGCCCGGGGAAGAAGTGAGAAGCTCGCAGGGCTCTACTTGAAGGCGAGGAGTGCCAGGCTTCCCCCAAGTCTTGAGTCAAGGTTACGAGGAGTTGAGTAAGATCAAGATTGAAAAATGGCTCCTGGACGTGGCACCGTGATTGTCATCCATAACTGGGAGAGGTTTTGGTGGAGTGACTGACGGGGAGAGCCTAGCTGGAACGTGCCAAGGGGTGGATGCAGGCGAGGAACCAGGACTCATGGTGGAGACCAGTCCTTATAGCAGCTGTTGAACCAGGAAGGTGGCTCCTAGCCAAGGGAGTCAAAGGCTTTATCCTTCTGTTATTGTTTTTATTTTTTTTGGTACTGGGGATTGAAGCCAGGGCGCTTAACCACTGAGCCACATCGCCAGCGCCTTTGTATATTTTATTTGGAGACAGGGTCTCCCTGAGGGTTCTGCTTAGGGCCTCACTGATTTGCTGAGGCTGGCTTTGAACTTACAATCCTCCTGCCTCAGCCTCCTGAGCTGCTGGAATTACAGGTGTGCATCCACACCTGACTTGTTTTTGTTTTTAAATTGCTGATGGGAAGCATCCGGGTTGAGAGGAAACTATCAAATCTTTAGGAGAGAAAAGACAGCTGCCTGTAGACACTTAAGAATGTGAGAGAACCACAGCAAACGCAGGTGGAGGTTGGGCCTCAGCTGGGCGGAGGACAGAGGCAGAGGGGAAGGCAGGGTGGTAGCAGGGAGCAGAGTGAGGTCCACCCATGGCTGGACCGGAGGTGAGCATCCTTCACAATCAAGTATATGATAAAGAACAAAATATTACCTTTTCCATGAAGATCTTTGTGCTTTGAAAATGTGGTGTTTTAGAGTTATATGATAACTTTTCCATTCTAACAGAAAATGTTTAATTGAGCAATTGATTCCAACATCAGATTCTAAGTTGAAATCTTACTACATTTAAGTATCATGACCTGTGAAAGAATTTAAGCTTCGCCGGATATAAGTTTAATGAATTAGATGCATAATAATTATTTAAATATTTGAGAAGGATTTTTAGACAATTGAAGTACTTAAAAAGGTATTCAAATATATTAAGTCAATAAATGCAGTTTACAATGTTTAGAGCCATTTAATTAAACACATTTGTAAATGAGTCGAGACATTTCTCAAAGGTCCTCTTAAAAGGGATTGTTAAAATTTGCTAGACTTATAAATAAATAATAAGATTGGTAAACTGAATTTCAAAGCTTGTGGAAGTACTGGGGTCTGTGTGATTTTGTAACTCTAATAAATTGGATATTAATTTTGGAAACCAGAGAAACCTTTGTTCAATATTTTTCGTGCTCAAGAGATGCCCTTTAGGGCATCACATTAATAGTTTTTTATTATTAAAAAAACATAGAAAACATAGAAAAGAAATTCAACCAGTATAGAAGGCGAAGGTGAAGACCTTGACCCACTCCTGGAGGTGACCGGCAAGATGAGTGTGTCCTGCATCCTGCCCGCTTCTACACAGAGGCTCCTCCTGGTCTCATACTCTGCCGGGCTGTTCCACTTAATAAGATTCTTTAGCCGCATGTTCAAGTTCCTCCCAAAATACACACTCAAATCCCTCCCCCCACGTTCAACCTCTATATGGGGTCATGGCTCCTCCTCTCAGCTCCAGGTCAGCGGAAGCCCTTCCCACAGCTCTGAAGGCTGGAGGTCCAAGGCCGAGGTCCCGCAGATGTGCTGACAGGTGAGGGTCTGCTTTCGGGTGTGCAGATGAAGCCTTCTCAGGGTGTCCTCACACAGGGAAAGGCGGTCCCTGGACTTCATTAACAAGGGCACTGGTCTATTCAGGAGGCTTGTGACTTAATTGTTTCCCAAGGCCCCAACAGGAGCACCCTGGGAATCCTCCTTGGAGCTCTGTCTTCCTGAGTCTGGTTTACCCAGTGTATCTCTACACCGTCCTGTAGATGTCTGCTTCCAGACAGCTCGCAATTGACACCCGCTGCTGATTATCCCACCTCTAGCCAAGCCAGAGCGCCCCTCATCTCTTGTCTGGCCTGTCACCAGGAGCTTTCTCTTTGACTCCCAGGCACACCACCTTTCTCATCCCCTCTAAGCTGATGTCCTCTAATTCTATTGTCCCCACTATAGTGCCACATCTATGTATTTGATAGGGTTCTGCAGTGTCACCCAAGCTGAGTAGCTGGGACCACACCCCCATGCCCAGCATTTTCCAAAACAAAATATTCCAACTGTCATTCACTCCATCCCGTACCCAATCCCATGTTCCAGCCCTTCCATGGTCTCTCCCATGGAGATTCTCTCCCCTCTCCCCTATCACATTTTTTTTTTATTTCATGCAAGTTTTTTTCTGTATTCAGAAATTTTTTTGGTTTTGCAATCATATTTGTCAACCTTGTGTTTTAGGACTTTTTAGAAGATTTTCCCCTAATCCAATATGGTAAAGATATCTTCTGCCTATATTTTGTAGTTCTTTGGGGTTTTTTATGTTTTTTTTTTTTTGTCTGTTTATTACATGCATGTGTTTGCTCAGTCCCCGTCGGGTGTGTGATGGGAGGCTTCAGGTTCGGCTGGCTCCAGATGGCTAGCCCACTCTCTGGGCAGGGGCACCCCCGGAGGAGCCTCCCTTCCTCTCTGCATTGCAAAGCCACCTTTACCTGACACTGACTCCCATTTTGCAGAGATCTATTTCTGGCCTTTCCATTCTGTTCCATGGATCTCCCTTTCCTTGGGCACACGATTTCAGACTCAATTCAAGGATAAAATGTAGACTCCTGGGGGAATGGATGCCCTTCAGTCAACCCTCCTCAAAAAAACAATTTCTTCAACGGAGAATTTTCTTTTCTTTCTTTCTTAATGAGAGATGGGGATAGCAGAGGTTCAAGGCCGCACTTTCGGGCGAGGTTCAGAATGCCATTATTCTGAGCTATTGATTGAGAGCAGAGTTATCAGCCAAGCAGATGGAAGAATCCAACATCTTCCTGTGGAAATGGCAAACAGCACTCCCTGGGAGCTTGTGAGTCTCCAGTGCTAATTTATGCTTCTGGGCTTTCCATTGGCTCCCCCTCCCCCACTTCCTCCTTTCTTCTACAAAACAGTCCAAGTGTCAGCAAATCTTAGGTCAGGAGTCCCTTTGCTGAGGACACTGAGGGTCTTCTCTGTGCCCTCATAGTCATAGCCAGTCATAGCCCTTAGCACCAGCAGGCACACAATCAAAACCCCTGTAACCCAATGGCTCTCTGCCCACCCCACCCTAGACAGCCATAGGCTCCCCAAAGCAGGGCTGGTCTTAGGACATGGGGATCCTCCCTCTGGCAAGCCTTGGCTCATTTTCTGTACAAAAGCAACCAATGCCTATGGTAGAAAAACCCAGGTAATGGAATTGCTCCAAGGAGCCCCATCCCTGGTTCCAGTGCCTTTTCCAGAACAGACCGCGGTTAGCTGGATTTCTTGGTCAGTGTCACAGAAGACTGGCCAACTTTCTCAGCAGGGGTGGCTGACCACGTCTCTTTAGGAGTATCATCTTCAGATTCCCCTTTTACAGCTCAGGGAGCAGGGGCTTAGGGAGAGCTGCCCTGGTTAACAGTGGCCTTCTGTGCTGACCCTGTGCTGATTAGAAGCCAGCTCAGCAGGCCACTCCGCGATGCTCCCTGGCCTAGGCTGTGAGCCAGAGAATAGCCAGGTCATGTGCAAGCCCAGGCTGTGCAGGCTGCTGAGCCTGCTCCCCGCCCCCGTCCCCTCCCTGTCCCCCCCCCCCCCCCCCCATCCTCTTCCTCCAGAACCCTCTCATCCATCACCTTTGGATGAGCTCCGCCAGGCAGGCCATGTCAGGAAATTTCTTGGTGTTCGTTTTAATAAAACTTAATTATTAAGACAGTCTCACAAGTCATAATACATTTAGGGGCTCATTTTTCACTTCTCCACTGGAGGCCTCCTGGCAGCCAGGTGGGAGGAGGGGTGGGGGAGCCCTTCCTGGTCTCTGCAGGAGCCAGCTGGGCTGGGAGGAGGTCCTGAGCCTCGCTGCAGCCACGGCCTCTGCACTCCACCTCCCAGGCTCCAGAAGTGAAGTCCACCTGGGAGAGTGTCCCCCTGTCCAGAGGACTGCCAGATGGCTCCCGAGGGAGGGAGGCTCTCTGGTCCTCAGCCCTCTCCCTGCAGAATGGAAATAGCTTCAATCCAAACCTGGAGAAGTTTCTGAGGGTGGGAAGAAAGGTCAGGGAACGAGGGGCCTTTCCAGTAGGTCAGTGGGGCAAAAGGACACAGGCCACGGTGGCACCTGCCCCACGGCTGAGGCTCTGCTCCCCTGGTAAAGACCGGGTGGGATTGTGGGTCCCCGGTGACAACAGTCAACAGCAGCTCACATCTATCGAGTGGTTGGCTCGTGCGGGCTCTGCCACAGTCCACATGCCCTCACCTGGTGACTCAACCGCCCCGTGTTCGCGGTGTCATAAAGGAGGCACCGTGTCCCTATCTTACTGATCAGGAAACTGAGGCACAGGGAGGGAAAGGAATGGGTCCAAAGTCACAGAGCTGGTTCAGCCAGATTTGAACACTGACAGCTCTAGAGTCCACCTTCTTACCGATGAGGTCCTGGCCCCGGGAGAAATCAGGGAGGGCCCAGGAGCTTCTCTTCTCAGGGCCACCTCAGCCTGAAACCAGAGGGATACAGCAGGACAGGTAGTGCCAGGGTCCCTGGCAGCTCGCTGTGGGTGACATCCCACGACACAGTCAAACCTGTGGCCATAAAAGTGGGGTGAGTTCACTGCTACCACTTCCTCCGTAAGTCCCGCGGTGGCAGCGTGGTCCCAGGGTGTTTGCCAACCCCTGCCCTCAGCCCCACATCAGGAGGGAGAAGAGGAGACCGTGTTGATAGAGCTGGTGTGGGGCATGGATGAGGCACATTAACTTTAAAAACCTTTAGAGCACCTGGGGGCTGCTTCCTGGCTAACAGGCCCAGTTTTTCTTTTCTTTTCTTTCTTTCTTTTTTTAATTTGTGTGTGTGTGGTGGGAAGGTTTACAGGGGATTGAACCCAGGGGCACTCGGCCACTGAGCCACATCCCCAGCCCTATTTTGTATTTCATTTAGAGACAGGGTCTCACTGAGTTGCTTAGTGCCTCACTTTTGCTGAGGCTGGCTTTGAACTCGTGATCCTCCTGCCTCAGCCTCCCAAGCTGCTGGGATTACAGGGGTGCACCACCACATCTGGCCAGGCCCAGTTTCCTTGCTTAGGACTCGTTCCTGAGAGATCCAGTGTCCTTTGTTAGCCATTGGTTAAGGGATATCAAGTGGTCATGCTTTCTAGGCTCGGGGGGGCAGTCTCATGATTATTGGGGTGCTTTTGTTTTAAACTTGTTTCTAATTGGAAGGTTCATGTTGTTGGAAGCTCAGCTCTCTGATTAATTATAATCACAGATGAAATAGCCAGGGATCAGCTGCCCTCTCAACTCCTCCAGGAAAAAAACAGATGCAGTTTCTCTGCATGTTGACTTGGCTGACCCGGGGTCTGTGTTCGACGGTAGGCCACTCTTCTGTTCCAACCTGGGGTCTCCCTCTCTTCAAGGCTAATTTGTTAGAGGCTCACTGTTGACAAACACAATATGAATTGAAACAACTCCCGGGTAGCTTTTTTTTTAAATGGGCAGGTTATCATTTGTCTTGAATTTTGACCTTTGAGTAATAGCTGGTACCAAAGTCATGATCTTGGGAGAGTGATATGGCTCTGCTTTGTGGACCAGCCCACAAGCTAACACCCCACTCCCTACCACGAAACAAAAAACTCAAATTCCCCATGTGCAGGAAAAAAATCAAAATACTCTCAGCATGTCCCAGCAATAAGGCTTTGTAAATGACAAAGCACAAAGACAGTTTTGAAATGTAAAATATTTTATTATAAATGGCCCTTCCTACAACACCCAGAGCAAACCTCAGCGGAAACTGCAGGCCCTGGGTGATAAGAGTGTGTCAGTGCGGGTTGAAAGATTTTAAGTAATAGGCCACCCTGGGTGGGAGATGGATCACTGGGAGGCTGTGCCCATGAGGGGACAGGGACTGTACTGTGTTTTCCATTAGATTTTCACAGTGAACCCAAAACTGTTCAATAAAATAAAACAATAATGTAACTTAACATAACAGATAGCAGAACACAGAGGCCCAAAGGTAGAGATTTCCTATGTGTTACCAGGACTTGCAAATTCACCCTGGGGCTTTAGATCTATCAAAAGATGAATGTTTCTTTCTAAAAGTGTAAGATATAACTTCTACTAAAGGCCTATACTTTATAGTTCGGCTCTTAACTCTTTACTTTATAGCCTAGTTTGGGGTCATTGCTGGTTCTAGGGGCTGTTCTGTCACTGAACTTTTTTGGGGTGCTGCCCTCTACAGGCCACTGGGAGAAAGAGCGAAGATTGCAACACAGTCCTGTCCTAGGTCATGAAATAGTACTTGCAAGAGAACATGACCCCACGTCAGCACAGATGCATCCAAGGAGGATGAGAACAGTGAACTTGCAGAGTAAGGGGTATGAAGGAGGCTTTGGGAGGGTATTGAGGTGGGTCTGGGCTCCTCCTCCTGGAGGTCGAACCCAAGACACCTGCGTCCTCCAGCGCAGACAGCACATCACGGGGGCTGCTCAGGAGCAGAGGGAGAGGCAGCAGTAGCCAAGGGGCAGAAGTCCTGCTGGGCCAGGGGACAATGTGGGGTTTTATCCAGATGGTCTTTATGGCAGTTGTATCCATTAGGTATCTTGTGTAAATAGTTTGGTGGCATGGTCGGACATAAGCCACAGTATGAAGTCCTTTCATTGGTTCCTTCAATGAACTGGGGGGGCCAGCAACACTGAGCTCTCCTGGCCGACAAGTCCCAGAGGACTTGGGCTGCTCTGACAGTCCTGATGGGGGTGTAGATACCCAGCGGGTGGGACCCTCCTTCCCCCACCTCACAGTGCTGTCTTACCCTCCAGCTGACCCCTCCAGGTGGCCTGGGAGATTCTGAGCTCAGCCATGCCTGCAGGTTTCCTGCAGGACCATGGGACTCCCAGGTCAATTTCCCATGGTCAGGTTCCCCAGGAACCCAACAGTGTCCCTACCAAGCCCCGTTTTCCATTTGGTGAATGTCTGCCATCGGGGCTAAGTTTCTGTGAGAATTTCAGCTTCTTGGCTTCCTTTTAAATAGGACCCTCTTTTTTTTTTTTTGTAAGTTCTAAAGTAAAGAAGGAAAGGAATCCTGTGAGATGTCAGCATTCAAGATCAGGGTTCAGCGGGATGTCAAGGTGCTTAGGGTGAATCAAAACGGCTCCGACAGCTGAGAGCTTCCTACAAACGCCACACCCGCGAGGATCTGAGTGTCAGGGACAGCTTTCAGTGCAGTCTATGGAAAGGACAGGAAAGTGAGGGCTGGCAGTATTTTCAGGGCAGGTGCTCCCAAATGTTATCATCCTCTTTTCTCTGAACTTTGAAAAGTGTGATTGCAATGAACAGGTCAAGGAGACGTCAAAGCAGAGACCTCCATATCACATGGTGTTGTAAGACAGGAGGCAAGACCACAGAGAGCCCTCGGCTTTGGTAACTAAGAGAGCTGGGGGACTTGCTGCCAGAGGGCATTTTGAGCAAGTCACCAGTGGGAGGCACTGAGAAGGTACTATCTTATTGTTTCCTATGTGACAAAATATCACTCGCCTTGGATAAAAAATTTTAAAACAATTTTTTGAAAATAGTTACAGAGTTTTGAAAGGGGGGTGGTAAATTTCAGGTCCGGATAGGGACTGGTAGAAAGCACCAGGGGCCGCTGGGTGAGAGGTTAGGGCCCCCGAACCAAGACCCCTCTCACCTTCTGCAAAGGACTTAGAAAAAATTCCATTTGATTAATTCCTTCAAGCCACTGCGACTTTTCCATTGGTAAGAATCTCCATATTAAATACAAGCATAGTGAGCTCCCCAAGGCAAAACCAGTTCCTTCTGTTCATGCCGTTTTTCAGCAAGGGTGATGTCTGATGCTTTGTACACTTGGGCTCTGGAATTGTGGCTGATGTTTCAATAGGTCCTTTAATGCCTGTGGAAATTTGGCTACTAGAAGAAGCATTCACTCCTATGAGTAAATTAATGTTCAAACCCCCACCCTTGTGAATCTATTAAACAATAGTCCTCTTAACATATAAGTATATGTGCATAATTGATAAGTCAACACTTATTAAAAATTGAACCAGTTCAAATTCCCCAAACCTATAAGCATCGGTTACAAAATTATTTAAACACTCTCTCCAACACTTTTAATTAAAATCATAAATTCAATGTGTCAGACTCTCTTAAATACTCCCAACACCTAAACGTCAGCCCAAATGCACATAAAACATCGCAGGGACTGAAAACATGTGCTTTTACTTACCCTTACACTGGTCACGGAGGGAGCAAGATCTTGGTATAGATTGGCTTTTCCATTATTGTACTGCTCTAACATTTTCTCAGAGTTACTTTCTTAGAATTAATATGATAGTTTCCCCAGATCAGGATGTCAAATCGTCCAATCTCTTCTAAGAACACTGATTTCTTACAGAAATCAATAGTGTTATCTCAGGCCAGCAGGTTTGGGGTTACTTATTCTTATTTGGGTCTCTGGACATTATTGTACTTGAGATTGAACGTGGTCCAAGGCTGCATAAGTCCCTTTCACACAGCTCCTCTTTCCTGTGGCCAGAGGCTTTCTCAGAAGGTGCTTTGTGTCCTGGGGACCCAGATGCAAGCTGTGCAATTAGCCATCTTCCTGGGGACATCCGGCTGGCTCTCCTGCACGTTTGTGGCTCCTTCTTTATGTGTTTTCGTGCATGACTACGAATTTCCATTTTCCCAAAATGTATTAGACGTATTCAAAATGTATTCTTTCCTCCTAGGGAGATGGAGTACAGAACTTATCTGCGCTTAATAAACCAACATATATTAAATGGAGGAAATGACATTACCCCTATAGGATACAAGTCTGCTATTAAGCATTTTAGAAGGAAATCTTATCATGTTCCCCATTTATATCAACTTCTCTCTGGAGCTCATTAGGAACTTATGGCCCTTTGCAGATTGCATGTGTTTTAATTGATTAAGTTATCAGTCTTGTACTCCAATTACCAGAGCTTGGCTAGGAGAAGCCTCTTGAATCCAGTTTCTTTGACCTTCCGGAGATGCTCTGTGATATTCCAGAGAAAACCTGTACTTTCTGGTCACAGAAGAAACTTCCAGGCCCAATCTGATCCTACCCTCCTAAGGCTGCTTTGTTTTTTCAGTGGAGAGAAACCTGGGCATTAGGGGGCACTCGAGAACTGGGAGCAGACAGAAATGCCCTGCCACTGGGGACATTTACAGTGACAGGTAGGGAAACATGGAAGCTGAGGGGTCCCTGTTAGTGTTTCCAACTTAACTTCAGCCTTGCTCAGTTACATTGTCCTGATGTGAACAATTCAAGTACATATTCCCCAGTGACATGCTCACCGTTTTAACTGCTCATCCAAGTCTCAAGGGCACCTCACTTTTCTCTCGGTTCATATTTACACAATAACTCTGTAGAACACACTTGATATTCCTCCTCATCCTCAATGGACTTGACAGCGTATGAGTGAGGTCAGGTCTGCCTCAAGGGAAGGTCTGCTTCTAACCAGAGTGGAAGGGCCCATTGACTCCAGATTTATTTCCATGACAGAAAGAAACGTTGAGGATTCCACATCCACCCTCTATAGGGAGAGCTACTTAGTCTATCTTGGAGTGGCCCAAAGACCTAAACCATGGCGGACTCTGTCCTGTCAGGACTCAGATTGCCACTTCTTGCTCCTGATCCCTGATAGCGTAGTCTGTTCTCTCTTTATGTACAGCGTCAAGTGAATTATTTGAATCACTAACCTTTATCAACTTGTGACTTCCTGTGCTTTCCTGGATCTGACTAATGGAATGTTGACCCTGGCGAGGGAGGTTCTGCCATTTCTACCTTCTGCCAAGTGGACCAGGTTAGCGTTTCCCCTGGTGGTGGTGGTGGGGGGTGTTAGGTCAATGGAGGAGAAAGGAGACAGTCACCCTTAAAGCTGTTAGCAGGAAAAGACACTTGCTGTTTGGAATCCACTTTGAGAAAAAAAAAATCCACCTTTTATGTAGAACGTGACATCTCCTTCATCTCCCCCCAGAGGTACAGTATGGATCTGGAATGTTCTCCAGATGCCAGGTGTTGAAGGCTTGGTCCCCAGCCTGTGGCACTGTTGGGGGAGGGGTCCTTTAAGAGGTGGGGCCTAGTAGGAGGTGGGTAGGTCACCAGGGGCATGGCCTTGGAGGGGATAGTGGGACTTGGCCTTCCACGTCTCTGGCCCTCCAGTGGGATTTGCCTGTAGGGGTCACAGCGGGTGTTCACTCCAAGACCACCGTGTCACGGTCCCAGTGTTCTGCCTTCTCTGTGCCCTCCCACTGGGGACAGCAGCAGCCCTAAGGAACTGGCAGCACCCTCAATGCAGCCTCTCACCCCTCCTGGCCCATCCCCATGTCCCTGTGGAAGGTGAACTCCCGGGGAACATTCTGCCTCCGATCCCCAGGGGTTGTGGCAGCCAGGATGAGTCACCTCACAAATATAGTGCGTTCCCCGGGGGGCGGCGGTGGGTGGAAGCATGTGTAGACTCCACTGTGCCTTCCCAGATCATCCGGGGCTGTCACACGTCAGAGGGGGAAAGCCAGCCAGCCCCCAGAGCCTGGGCCAGGACTCCAGCCCAGGACACTGAGGGCTGGTGAGGCCAGCGGCTGCCCTCCCTCCTGCTCGGCTGCTTCCTCTCCTCCTGGCTTCTCCACCCGGGGCCTCTCTCCGTTCCTCCCTCCGGCTCTGTGTCCTGTTGTCACCTCGCTCCTTCCTCCTCCCCTGCCACTCCTCCAGTCTCCTCCCAACATCTCCTCTCCCCTCTGTCCCTTCTCCCTTCTCCTTCTCCTCTCCTTGCTTCCCTCCCTCCCTTCCTTCCCAGCCTCTCCTCCGGGCCCCCTGCCTCCTCTCCAGCCTCTCTGTCTTCCTCCCTCTGTGCTTGTCCCTCTTCCTCCCTCCGCCTCTTTGCCTCTGGCTCGCCCTCTCTCTTCCTCCACATCTTCCACTGGCCTCCTCTCCTCCCCAGCCCTGTCCGGGGGGTGCGGTTGGACCTGGGTCTTTCCTGCCCCTCAGGACCCTGCCTGGCCTGGTTGGGGCCTCTGGGCTTGGACCTTGAAGAGGACCCTCTCTCCCTTCAGCATGGCCCGTTCTTCCCTCGCCCCACCTCTGCCTCTGCATCACAGCCTGAAGCCCACAGCGCCCAGCTCCAGGCCCAGGGTATGGACAGGGAGGGGGCTGTGGCCCGGAGCTGACCTCTGGAGGCCAACAGCACCACACACAGAGCCCACTTTGAGGGTCAGGTGGATTGGTAAGGACTATTCCGGGAACCACCTCCAGGATCTGCCGAGGAGCTGGGGCAGGTTGACTCTCCAGGGGGCCCACCCCCCGCCTCTCAGGGGCTGATCTTCTGTTCCCTTGTCAAAGGGCTGGGGAGCTATGAGGACACCGTCTTGGAGGTGGGCTTCTCGTGGGCCTGGTACGTCAAGGAGGAGGAGAAAGCAGCCGGGCCCTGCCCAGTACCACGTGCTTGGCCCCGGCCCAGCCCCAGCCCAGCCTCAGCCCAGG